CATTACTACCTAATATCTGCCAGCCGGGTTGAAATGATTCCTTTTTTAACAGTACCTCCAGTGTGTGTCCCCTTCGGCTTGTCCCTTCTTGATAAATCTGCGCTAAACTCTTCATGTATGCTTGACATACACGAACGGGGGACCAGAAAATACAGAAGGTTACGTTGTCAATATAATGTATGCTTTATCATGTCGAGTGCAGACGGCGAAAACGACTGAACGTTTTAACATTGACTGCCAAGCGCTCGAGTCAATATTTGCACTGAACGACTGTTTTATCAAATATATCTCAGCGTCCTCGTGCGCAATAAAGAGCAGGTGCGTTCGTGTATTCTAGCTAATCGATGGCCAATGAGCGCGTAGGAGTTACACTCCTTTCGTAAGTCGCACACGGAATATGTGTACTGATAATCACAGTCATATATTCACTGGCTGAACTGTGCTGCCTACAACGGTGGTGCTCTTGACAAGCGAAGCTTCGGTTCTTGCTGCGCAGTCAGACAGCTGTGTTCGTCGAATAGAAATTGACTGCTTCCTTAAGTGCTTGAATAATTAACGCTGTAAGCTTCCACCAAAACTCCAGGTGAGCCGGAAAAACGCGAATATGTTTACCTTGGTGCATGTTTCCACGCATTGCACCTTACAATTTCCCCCTTTTCACTAAATTACACCCTGAAGTTAGTTTTATGAAATAGCATAGGCTTCATGGCCAATAGGTCAGCTTTGAGATAACTATTCTCTAGAAACAATCAAGAATGTATTGGGCAATTCAACTGGCATCTAAGGTCTGTCATACAGCCCAGAAACATGTGCGGTGAAGAAATTTTTATCAGATTAAGCGAACAGTTTATTTGACAATATCCATTTTGTGTCTCCTCAAACCTGTTTGTGCATTTCAGTGGTACTCAGCGATGATATTTGTGGTTTTGGAACTTTCTATACTGAATTCATGTGTTATAAACTAAATAAGTTTTAGCGGAACATGGCTACATGCTCGTGTTTTTCGTTTTCCTGCGTGGTTAATCAAGCGATCATATCTCGAAGTACGATTTTCATAACGTTCAGTCTTGCACCCTAATATACGCACTCTTAACATTGTGTTTGAGACCCCTGTAACGCTTTGGCATATCGTGTTTCCTAAACAAACAGTCTCATTCGACGCGACAGCATTTAAGAGCTCATTTCTTAAAATGCATGTGTCGGAATCGCTGGCCGGAAATAAGAGTTGTTCTCAAGTCCATATTTGAAGTATGAGCAACTAAGTGAATAACACGCATGCTTGGCTGAAGCGGGAATTTGATGCAAGACTTTCGTACGCAAAGCAGTGGCTCTACCACGGATTCACGCCTGTGCCTAAAACTATTAGGGATAAGACCCTATGCGAAAGTCATGTAGTGGCAAGGGTCTCCTTAACGCGTAATATATTGCGTAGCAGAAGTGTTGAACCATAAATTCGTCAGAATCAGTGTATCGCGCAATGTTCAAAGGCCCACCAGCTACAAAGTGCATGGGTCCCACAATCTTTATGAGGAACGGTATAAACGAACTGTGCAGCTGCGCGGCTGAACCTTTTACCTTACGGAGGCGTATTGCTCGTACAGCCAGGTCCTTGTCTATTAAGAGCCAGGGCTGTGAACAGACGGCTTTATTCGGCGTGGTGGCTCCTTTCGGCACCTGCGGACTCTGACATGGCATGCCCAGGAGTATGCGCGTCCAAAGAGATATAAAGTTCTGCGCAGACTTCTTGAAACCGAGATTTATATTTACCTACTCCTTTGTTCGACCACCCGTGTGCTTCGCCCGAGGCTATCGCTCTTTCATATGAATGTGTCTATTGGAGCAGCGAGAAAGTGCGTATCCTTTTTTCTAGGAGAGCCGTATGCGCATTACCATCTCCAACGCGTCACCCTTTGGCATCGATATTAAGCCAGCACCATGAGGCTGAGTAAATCTTGGTTAAACAAGAGCACTTCTCCATGTTGCGACTCATGGGTCGCAGGTCTGCATGTGTTCATGGGCAAGCCACGTTAGTAGCCGCATCTATTGCAAGGTGTCCCCACCCTCCCTCTGAGCCTGCTTGAGCTCTACAGTGGCGTAGGCGCTGCTGTATATTGCCAACTCGCAAGGGCAAGTCTTGTAGCCTGGTGGACCCTCTGCGGCTGTACTTGCAGTATTTATACTAGCAAACTTTGAAATGGCCGGCGTTACGCGCCCAGACATTCCCTTACCTGTCGAACGGTCTCCGTCAGCCAGGCCGGCCAAGCCACGCAGGCGATTGGTAATTATATGCGAACGTGGGTTGATCAGGCTATCACGTTATTCTTTCGGAGGTGATGCTCGAGCTTCTTTAGTGTTGTTCTCGATGCTTTCTTCGCAAGCACAAAGGGATGTATATTTAAAAATAGCCACAAATTGAAATCAGAGCAACGGCGATGATTTCTAGAGCTCCGCTTACTATGATCCGAGCCGAACGCCTCTCATAGACCGCCGTGTTCTAGAGGGACACAATTATATGGCACATTTGGAGCATGATAAACGTTTGATGTCGCTCGAACAGAGTTTCCACGTTATTATCTAGTGCAAAAATATTTGACTTGAACGCAAATAATTGCGCATAAAAAGCGCTTACTTTTAAATTTGTGGGTATGGGCTTCATATTTGGCTAGGACTTATCGACTTCCACGATTACAGGTGGACAATACTCTAACCTGTCTTAGAGGTTGTAATAAGCCTTTGGGCCTACCATAGCGGAGAATATATCTGTGTCGATTAGATGGCGGAGTTTGAAAATGCCCAGAATAATACATCGCCGGTCTGAAGCGCTCAAGCTGCCACTGATAACTAACTTTAGGCAGATATTCAGAATTCATTACTAAAAGAATGATGTGCAGGCAAAAAACTGGGTAAAAAAAATCACAGCATACTCATGGAGAAAATGACAATGAGTGGAGGAAGCTCCGGAGGTGCATTGGTAAACTGTGAATCTTTAAAAAATATTGCGCAGTCAATCATTAAGTAAAGATGGCGAGCACGCACTGCACCCATTTTTCGGGCCCTCCACTCCACCGCCTCGTCTTCGTCGCTCATACTAGAAGCACACAGTCTCCCGGCGAAAGAGGAAGCGCGCCAAGAGCGAACGAATTTCAACGCCAGAGTGAACGCGATCTCTTATCCCAAAAGAGCACGCATCGGAGTTGAGCGAGCACCGCAGCACCATGTAGTGAGCAATCCGAGTACTAGAGTGCGAGCGCCTCAGCGAAATCTAATGAGCGCTCTGAGTACTAGCGGTCTACTACAACTCGGGACTTTCCTACGCGTTGAATCTTCTTCCCAAAAAGTCAACCCATTTCCTGCCATAGCTCGATCTTCTCAATAGCTTCAAAAAACGTACCTAGGTTGATATTTTTCTACATAACACGAGCATCCAGCGTGGGCTTTGCAGTTGACAGAAACTCTAGATACAGCCTCAGCCGCGCTTTTGTAGAGCGTGCGAGCAGCCGCTTTTTGCTCTGCGGGGCGACACGTTAAGGCAGTTTCAGACTCTGCTGGGTGTCAGGAGTAAGCGTGGCCAAGTAGTCAGGCTTACTACGTCGCAGCCCAAAACTGCCTTCAGGTGTCGCCCCACAGAGCGAAACCGGCTGCTTGCTTGCTCTACGAAGACGTTGCCGCAGCTTTACATTCAAGCTTCCCATGCTGCCGTTGCCGCTACACTCGAGACCATGCTTAGGGCGGTGTCATTGTACGCGAAGACTGATAACACATGGATTGTTAACGAAAGCTAAACAAGACAAAGAGCAGAAATTGTGCCCTAAAATGAACTTTCATGACAAAAATATCGCCAGACTTGCTGTAAAATGTGAAATCTCACAAAACATGTTCATTAGAAAAGAAAATGTGGGCCTACGGGCAGGTGTATTTCCACAATGGGCCAGATGACACTTTAGGCAAAAAAATATCGCTCCCTCTTCTTCATTTAATGTCATTTCTCTAGCTGTGAACATCTGCCACTGTAGGCGAGGATACAATATTTTAAAAAAAGCAATGACTATTTAGTGGCAAGGCTCGCGTGTTAGTTCCGTAGCGCAATAGCCCACAACAGATTTGAACTTGCACGATGGTCTATGACGTTGCATTTTACTAGTGCGACACTTGGTACGCTCAATGTTTATTATATTCTGTGCCAGCGATTAGAGACACACCGGGAGTGATAGGGAAAATCTATTCATGGGTCGGCGCCTTCATTGTGATTCAAGCCCTACAAACCCTATTATTTTAGGCACCTTGACAGACAGGATAATCAGTATCACCATTACGGCTTAGGCTAGCTGTCACATAGCTTCAAAGAAAACAGCGTGCATACATGGAAGAGAAGAAGACGCAGATACAACAGCACCTTTAAGTGACTCTCAAAAGAGAGAAAAGAAGACAAAAGTGAGCTACATAGCTGCCTGTACCATAGTGCGACACTTCAACAGTGACTCATGAGGTAAGAGGATAATGAGGAATTGAAAGGAACAGGTATAGAAAACACATAGGGATAAACATTAGGACACCCACATACAGAAGTAAAAAGAATATAGAGAAAGGTGGGACAGGGTCGAAGGAGTCCGACTACGGTGCACCACTCAGCGAGGCACGGCGTCAGGAGATGGCGGAGCCGGTCGGCCAGAGCTGCGCTGTCGTCGGAGATCGCGGGCGCACAGCCGGTCGGCACAGAAACCAGTGAGCAAGTCCCCAACAACACTCTTGTTTGCCTGCCTTCTTGGGCTCCATGTTGTACCACCTATGGCTTCTCTCGCCTTTAGTACTATGTATAATTTTGCAGCTTTCAATTCAGGAATGTACCAACAAACATTTTATTTCTTTAGTAGCCCCAAACCACATATAATTAGCTACTTTATTGAACTATTCTAGTAGATGGTTTGGAGATCATATCAGTTACATTAGTTTGCCTAATCTGGCATTATAATCATTTTCTTCCGAGGTGAAAGGAGGGCACAATGGATGAAGAGTCTTACCGGTTCGTCGAGGGAGTGTGGCTGCACAAGATATTTAAAGAGGAACAATATCGTTCGGCGATCAGCTACAAGCCACGTGACGGGGATGTCTTCGTCGCTTCGTATCCAAAATGTGGCACCAACTGGACGCACTTCATCGTCTATAATATTCTGACGCGTGCGAAGCCGGTTATTCACTTGAACGAGTTCAGACGCATGTGCCCTTTCATCGACGCGAACGGCAGCAGAGTCGCCGAAGACCCCCTGAGAACTGGGCCTATTATGACGCATTCTCCGCTCCGTGTCCTTAAGCGAGCCAGTTGTGCGAAGTACATCTACATAACTAGGAACCCCTATGACTGTGCCACGTCCTACTACCACTTTCTCAAAGGGATCACCCCGAAAACCACTGACGTTTCCTTCCAAAGATTTTTGTCTCTCTTCTTAGCCGGAAAGGTACTGTGTTCTATTTTTACATGTTCACCTTTATTTTTCCCTACTAGTGTAAAGATTACCAGTGCTGATGTGAAGGCTTTGTCCTTTCTATGATTAACAACTTAAAGGTTACGAAAACTAACAGACAATGATACTTAGTTTTATAAAGTTTTTAAACGAAAAGCGAGCCCTTAAATGTCCTATAGCAGAAGCTTGGGCTAGTTGGTCCGGGTTCATGATGACGAATTTCACAGTGCGATAGGATAAGGGAAAAAATCTTGTTCTTGAGCTTTAAAATTTGATACGATGTTCTCATGCTGTAAAGTGTGAAAGTGAAAACCATTGTAACTTTCCGCTTCTTTCCTTGAGTGGCTGAGAAGACATTTCGTCACAAAGCATTCTGACATGACATGGTGTGCCAATATCTCAGTATGAGATGTGTGTTGCGTCGTCCAATCTTATACCACAAATTAGTGATGCTCTTTTGTTTCACAGTCATTATAGGCATAGAGTTTCTTTCCTAAAATAAACGAGAGGAGGCTCTGGTGCTGTGATAGTTCAGCTACCATGGGAAGGGTGGCAATACACGGATTTGCCTAGTCTTTGTATTTGCAGGCGACGAAACGTACGTGTGGGTTTGTTTATTTCTGGATTTGGCTTTGTCTTGAAGGAAAGAACGATCCCTTTTGAATGTTGTGACCCGAGTCGAAATGGTAGGCCTAAAATAACAAGGTGGTGAAGCACAACCACTGAACATTTGCTGATTTTGTTTTGTGAGAAAATAGCTCCAAGCCACAGGAACACACACGTCGCCAGAAGCAGGCCATAAGCACGAAGAATAGGCAATTACGCGTACTACCCATCATTTCCATGCTTGCTGAAGCGCCGTGCGTTGCAGCTCTCATAGACACTAGCACCAGAGTTCCCTCTAGTGTATATTAGGAAATTCAATGATTTAAGGGGGCAAATTGGGGTGGATGCTGCTGCACAGTCTCACATTAAAGGGCTTGCAATGATATGCTATTCCTAGGTGTGCAATGTATAGGCGAAGTAAACTTATTGCTTTTAGATTGGAAGAAATGATGGACGCAAAAGAGGCGCTATAAACACCCGACGAGGCACTGCTAACAACTGAAATATTTAATTTTAATGCACATTTATAGAACGCAACCTCGCTAGTCCCCCCCCCCCTCCCATGACAATGGATAGCAGGCAGTTACCTTGAGCACCACATCATCTACCAGCACGTGCCGTTGTAGAAAGCCTATCTGTTTTTCCTGCAAACTGATCAAGCCATAAAACATGCACCTCGAAGCTTCTCTTCTGATGTAAAAATCCTTAGAAATTATTCTCTTAGCTTTCACTGGATGCTTGCAGACCACTGTCGTCCTTTTAAAAGCACGCCTACATTTTCTCTTCTTAGCATTTTTGCCGTTCACGGCTAAACGTGTGTTCTGTTCTGCCCAACATAGAGCGTCCCGCGTGATAGGGTTATTCTATACGCGACACCTACCTCACGATGGTAAAAAAATGTTCGGGATATTTCATGACGCACACCATATGATTTCAAGACAGGTACTCCGCAAGCTTACTGATTGAACAGCAAGGGTGGCCCACCTTTCTATCAATGTGCGTTCTGAATAAGTTATTCCAGTTTTTGTAGCACGTCGTCCTGTGTTTATTGCTTTCTTCATGACCGTCTTGCCGCGCACATTAGAAGAATTGAATTCGAACAAGCTCGCCAAGCTTTAAATTAGGCCAAAGTAAAGGTGTTAAAGGTCAAGGTAGGATGTTGGTCTTGCTGCCACAACTTATTGTAAAGAAAAAACACATACGAGACCAAGTGACGAGTTCCTGTCTGCATGTGAATTAAAAAGCAATTTCGCACACAATGCTTGAAAAATTTTACGGTTCAAGCCACTCATGTTTAAATCTCGCCTGTCTTAACACCAAAAGTTGACTTAGTCAAAACAGAGCTCTTGGCGTCTTGCAACGCAATCAGGTGGAAAACTGAAAAATCTGAGTAAGAATGTATTACCAGGAATTGAAGGTGCCGTCTCAAGCACTTAAAAGCAGTATGTTGGTAGTGGTACAGCCTAGACATTCTGAGGTGCCAACTTTGCTCATGCTGTGCACGCAAACATCAAACTTGTGAGCCTCTGTAACGTTTTTCTGTAATTTTACAGCTCGTTTACGGTGACTACTTTGATCACTTGTTGCCGTGGTACCAATGCCGTGAAGACGACAACGTCCTCTTTCTTACATACGAAGAAATGAAGGCCGACACCAAAGGACAGGTTTTGAAAATCGCCGATTTTCTTGGGCGCGAACAGCACGGTGCTATGCTTCGCCGGGACGAAACTGTCTTGAGCCAGATACTCGATGCTTGCAGTTTGGACAACATGAGGATTGTCTACAAGGATATGCCGATTGACAGGACAAAGAGAAGCCCTTTCTTAGAAGAAGCCTCATCTGTGCAAGTGTCGAACGCAACACAAGATGACGACGTGGAAATGCATGATAGCCCCGGCTTCATACGCAAAGGAATTGTCGGCGACTGGAGAAACCATTTTACGCTTGAACAAATGCGACGCACAAAGGAATGGATTGCCAAAAAGACAGAAGGAAGTGACGTTATGACCCTGTGGAAGGACTGTGATCTGCCATAGTTTACGTATCTGACAATAAGAATGCCTTGATCGAAGTATGTTTTATGTGTTTTTTTATTATTGAAATAGAAAATAAACGAAGGCTTTTTTGTCACCGTTACTTGGCGACGGCTATTCCTTTCCACTTGATTGGTAAAAATAAAGAAATTGGAAAAACAATAGCACATTTACGTATATACAAACCTACATAGGTGAGAGCAAAAGTTCTCCTATGGGCAGAACAAACACGTAGACGCCACGCTCACTTTTAACTTTTGTCCGCTCAGTAGTCGTCACAAATCATCGTTTCTTCGAAGAAGTGTTGCAGCAGCTTGATTGCTTTGCCGTTTGTTTTGTATGGCCATGGACCTAGTATTTTATTCGACTCAAATGACCGCTCGGGATCTAACTTATGGAGTTCCAGTTCTAATCGCCTTCGATGTGCATCTTGTTTCGGACAGTCGAGCAAGAGGTGACAGATATCCTCGTCGTCGTGGCCGCATGAACATGCTTACGATGTTGCACGCTGAATACGAAGTAGGAAGTGCTTTGTGTAAGCAGTTCCGTGTCGTAGGCGTTGTTTGCGTAGAATTATGAGTAGTTTTCGCCAACTCATTTGCCATTTCAGTTCCCTTAATTGCGCAGTGACTGGGAACCCACTGAAATGCCACTCGATGATTCGACTTCGCAGCTTCTGAGAGCTCTTTTAGTATAGCGTATACTATACGCACATCAATGTGTCTTGAAGTGGCACTTTCCACACATGCCAGTGCTTCCAGAGAGTCTGTAATAATCACCCATTTTTTGGTGTCATTGACGGCCTAATAAAGCTTATGGCTAGCAAAGTCGCTACGAGCTCCGACGTTGTTGAAGAAGAGAGGTAGTCCAACCGAAATGCATATTGTTCGTGCAATTCAGGAATTATATATGCTGATGTCGCTGTTTCTTTGGTGACGGAGCCGTCAGTGTACACGTGAGTGTATCCTTGGTACCTGTCAAACAGATGATGTGATGCCAACTGCTGTGCGGCAATGATTGGCACTTCATGTTTGCGGCGAAGTCCTTTTATTGACGTTTCAATAATTGGTAGCTCAAGCAGCCATGGCAGGTAGTTTTGGTTCAGTAGCCAATATGTCGACACAGGAAGCCGGGAAATGTACTGTTGGTACACGTGATGTATTTGCGCTCCGGCAAGGTTCACGATGTTGGATTTGAGCGGATGTGAAGGGTGTTGCGTGACTAGTCGAAAGAGGTGCCGACATGTCTCCACATTTCTAATTACTATAAAGTTGAGCTCTCTTGCCTCTGCCAGTGTCAAAGAACTTGATCTTGCCTGTGGAACCCCCAGACATATGCGTGAGCTTCGTGTTTCTAACAGCTGAAGCCGGTGTAGAGACGTCTGAGAGATATGGAGAACTGGCGCACAGTAGGTAATTTTCTATCGGAGTAATGCGCAATGGACGTGGAGTAGAGACGCTGATGTACCGCCCCATTTTGTTCCCGCGATGCGACGTACAACATTGATGGTGCAATTCACTTGATTTTCTTGATCAGAAATATGCTGACTCCACCTGAGTTGGCTATCTAAGGTAACGCCAAGGAAGCGATGCTTTCGTGCGATTTCAATTCTCTCGCCATCCACAAAAAAGCTTCAAGTTTTCACTGTCTTTATTGTGAATGGCAGAACTACCGAATCGGCGTGAAAAATCTGCATGCCTCGCTCTTTGAGGTAATCAATTATTGCATTTAGTCCTTGTTGAGGCCGATTTTTGTTAGTTTTTTAACACTAAATTGTCGTATGACAGAGTCTCTCACGGCTTCACTGACGCATTTTTGTCAGAGATAAGACACTGTAAAATATATACTATCAAATTCTAAACACAAAAATACTAGTCGGAAAAGGTTCGAAGATGCGCGTGAAACGAGGCACCTTTCATCGTGCACCATGTGACGCAGACCACTAAGCCACGGAGTGTACGTTGTCAAGCCTGCCAACGGCAAGCAATTTAATATACACCTTATGCCGGTCCTCAGAGCTCCGAAACATAAACCTAATTTTGTCACCAGTGGCCAGATAGCGCCAAAGGCTCGCATGGGCGAGTTCGAGAGGTCATCACCTGGCGTTTCTTATCGCCCACTTATCGGTTGGTAGTGCACGATGGTCACTTCTCTCGACGCCGCGGCTGAATTTACAATATAGGAGCATGCTGCTCACATGCGATGAAGTAAGAATTGTGACAATTGTTAGCGCTCGTCTTCTGTGAACTTGTTCGTTCTTTTCGTGCGTTTTCTGTTTGAGCAGCGTGCTTTAAGTGTCGAGCTTACACAGTTTGTTTGCTCCCTGCGGTGTGTGGTCATTTTGTGTGTACTTTCTGCGTGAGAAATGTGATGTAAGTTTGGAGCTGCTTTTCGTTCTTCCCATGAGATTGCAATTAGTTCCTGTAGCATTGATGACATCACCATTGTGGCAACACAATGCACAATAAAGAATCAACTACCTCTGCAAAAGCCCATTTCTCTTCCGTGCTTTACAGATTCATAAAGGAGTGATCAGCCACGTTTTCTTTTTTTATGAGTGCATTCATATCTTTAAACTGTGAAGAAGAAAACGCATCGTTGGCAAGCAACATCGCCACCGCTTGGGTACTGGGTGATGGGCTTCTCTCGCTCGCCTCGTGCTGATCATCGCCGGCATCTGCTTGACCGTTGCTCTGTCCCCATCGTGGTTTTTTCGTAGGGCCACCGTCGCAACAGTCGCCAATAAACCCCTTTTCAAAACTAACACTTTAGAGTGAGTGTTTGCGCCTCTCATACTCTAGAAAGTGTTTTTGTCCTCAAACCTACATTATCTTGTTCATTTTCAGTCCCCCAACCGCCCCTGCCCCCAGAAAAAAAGAAGAAAAGTATGCAGCGAGATTATTTTGTCATCGTTATTTTTCCTCTGAAAACTCGTCTCTTAATATACTGTATGCTATATTTTATTGCAATAGCAGCCGCATGATGTCACCTCGAATAAGGCAGAACATGAAGGGTGGATCAGTTCAAATGACGGGTGAATAATAGTGCGCGATGAAGGAAGAATTATTTTTGTTCATTCTATTTTGTCAACGTTGTAGTTACGGAATATTCACATGTAATAAAAAAACGTGGATAGTTCCTTTATATAGGCAAAGGTATAGCGCCAAAGCGAAACGTGTCTTTACAGAAGTAGTTCAGCGTCTATTGCACATTGTTTCAGGAACAGCAACAAATTGAAAATCACGTTAGAAACTGCAAGCAGCTCGAAACTTACAGCACACACCTCAAGCAGAAAGCATGCACGAAATTAGCATACACAGGACGAGCGCTGACCAGCTAGTGCCACAGCGCGACGGAAAGACGCACAAAACGAGCGAACAAGTATAAACAGGAGAAACAAGAATAACTGTCACGATTCGTCATGCATTGTGTGTGAGCTAACAGCACACTGCTTCCCTCTCCCGTATCATTAGCCTTATGAGCCAGCGCGCAGGGGACAGGACACTCCGTAGAGGAGGTGCTTCGTGGTAACGACGACCTTTAGAACGCGCCCAACACGAGCACGTCGGGCCATTTAACCGCTGATAACAAAAAACGCACTAAAGATTCGACAATCTGAGAATTGCCAAACGGTGTGTGGTCTATATAAATGGTTTTTCCTTATCATTTTAGACAACGTATGTTCCGTGGATAGCGGCTAGCACAGTGTGCTGCAAAGCGGGAGGTTGCTGTTTCGATTTCGCGTGACAATAGCATGCCTTTTTTTGCAGTCTCTTAGTATATTTTGCAGCGTCACTTCCGTGACGGTAGTACGTCAGCGAAACCGTGATGCACGCCAGCATAAACTACTTTCGTGTAAAAAGAATTAGGCTTAATTACACTGCAGGTCTCTATTTTTTAATGTCCTAATGAACACTTTGTGCAAATAATAATAAAATACTAGTCTAGCGGGTCACCAAAACTTTTCTGCGCAGTCAGAGAAATTTCAAAGACGCGCTAGTGCCATGGACTAAAGTAGACTTTTGCGCAAGCCAACATTTCGTGCGACTTAAACAACGAATCTTTATGCTTTACTAAATGTTGGCTGTTTTTGGCTAAATGTTGACGTTTGCATGC